AACACAAGACAACTGTCAGTCTCCCTAGGTCTGGTGCACCATACAAGATCTCACCTCATGGAGTGTCAATATTCATGAAAACAGTGATGAATCATCCCAGAACTACACCTGAGGATCTTGTCACCAAGAAAACAATTAGTAACACACTAAGCCAACAAGGATTGAAAACCTGCAGTGCCCGCAAGGTCCCTCTGCTCAAGAAAGCACATGTCTAGGCCCGCCTGAAGTTTGCCACTGAACATCTGAATGATGCAGGGGAGGACTGGTTGAAAGTGTTGTGGTCAGATGAGACCAAAATCCAGCTCTTTGACATCAACTCAGCTGTTTGGAGGAGGAGGAGGAATGCTACCTATGACCCCAAGAACACCATACCAACTGTCAAACATGGTGGTGGAAACATTCTGCTTTGTGAGTGTTTTTCTGTTAAGGGGACAGGACAACTGCACCTCATCAAAGGGATGATGGACGGGGCAATGTACCATCAAATCTTGGGTGAGAACCTTCTTCTCTCAGCCAGGGCATTGAAAATGGGTCGTGGATGGGTGTTCCAACATGACAATGACCCAAAACACATGGCCAAGGCAACAGAGGAGTGGCTCAAGAAGAAGCACATTAAGGTCCTGGAGTGGCCTAGCCAATCTCCAGACCTTAATGTGATTGAAAATCTGTGGAGGGAGCTGAAAGTTCAAGTTGCCAACATCAGCCACCAAACCTTAATGACTTGGAGAGTATCTGCCAAGAGGAGTGTGCCAAAATCCCTCCTTAGATGTGTGCAAACCTGGTGGCCAACTACAGGAAACGTCTGACCTCTGTGATTGCCAACAAGGGATTTGCCACTAAATACTAAGTCATGTTTTGTGAAGGGGATCAAATGCTTATTTCCCTCATGAACATGTAAATCAGTGCATAGTTTGTTAGACATGCATTTCTTTAGAATTTTTTGTTGCTATTCTGTCTCTCAGTGTTACAATACACCTACCATTCGATTTTTAGATTGATAATTTCTTTGTGAGTGGGCAAATATTCAAAATCAGCAGGGGATCAAATACTTATTTCCTTCACTGTAGTTGTTAAGGACACCAGTAGGTGCAGGCAACACCAAGTCCCTGATAACCAGTAACCAGACATACAATCTGTTCACTTACTTACCACCGATTGATAAGATGTGTAGATGACAGCTGTTGTATACAAAGGGGTGGGGTCTCCCGGGTGATGTCATTGACCATATATGGACACAACTATATTTAGTCAATGATGTCAGAGGTCACATTTCAGTTTAAATTGCCAGCAAATTACATTTAATTTTTGCCTTTTCTTTTAACCAAAAAACAGCACATATACCTCTACAAAGGTTCCCCCAAAATACATAGTAGGCCCTTGGAGGGGTCTGTGTGAGGTTTTTTTTTTTTAAAGAATCTGACAATGAAACTTAAGTTGCTGGCAATTAACATTTTTTCCTCTGTAAATGTCACTGCATTGCAGCACTTCCTGTACAACACAGAGATGCTCCCTTCATAGTCAGGAATATGACTTCCCTAGGCAAGTTATATAACAGAATTAGGCATTTCTAATGTTTCATTTTAGGCAAAAAATATCTGCCCCTTACTGACTGGAATTGTTTTAACTTTTTTTTTGCATTGGTGCATGTTCCTCAGGATAGTGTCCATTCCTCCATTTTTTCTACAACCCCTTGCCTAGTAGCCCAAAATGGGCATTTTTAATTAGACAGATTTGACTAGAACCAAACCCAGGGCAGATCTGTTTGGCTGGGAACAGTGATTTTAGTGATTCTTAAAGTGAAACATTAAAAAATGCAAAAATCCATTAAATAGCATGCCTGGGGGATGCCCTGACCCTGCCTGCGAAGTAGCACATCTGTGTGTGATCTATACAACGTACTGCAACAACACTGACATTTAAAAATAAAATGACAGCTCCCAGCTGCTTTCTTCCCAGCCACCAGGGATTTCCCTAATCTATACTAGACCTGTTTGGTAGATGAGGATCTATAAATATTAATGGGGAATGCCTACAAAAAATGGTGTGGGGCTTCTCTCATAATTCATATCAGGCTCTCCAGGTCTGGTATAAATCTGAATTGGGAACCCCAAACAAAAATCAAGGAAAAAGCATCAGGTTTCTCAAAAAATCCATACCGCTCCATATGAAAGCATACAGCCCCGCTGTCCAGGAAAGGGGGGAATCTGTCTGCTTAAATTTTTGGTCAGTGTAGTATCCCTTACATTGGTGTTTAATGTAACAGTGCCCCTTTACATTGGCGGTGTTGATAGTCAGTGGAAAGGTGTCCCCCTTATGTTGGTGGTCAGTGGAGAACTGCCCCCTTATGTTGGTGGTCAGAAGAGAAATTGCTCTTTAGTAGATAAGTCCCCCCCTAACATTTGTGGTCAGAGGAGAGGTAACACCCTACATCGGTGGACAGTTGATACGTCTCAACTTACTTTAGGGGATAGTGGAAATGTGCTGCCTTACATGTTCCTACTGAATAAATAAATAAATATTATTACTTCTAAATATATATACCATACCCCATGTAGCACTTGTCCTATTAGGATAATGCAGATTGACCCAGTCTGATCCTTTGTGTATGTTGGACTCTTTACCTTTTATTGCTGAACTAAATTCTACTAGAGAGGGTTTAGGAGCAGGATATCCAAAAATAGGACATATGTTGTGAAATTAACAGACTGATTAGGAGCAGTCACTTGGTAATTACTGGTCCTGGGAGAGCAGCTAGACAGATCTGTTACCCTGTAAGAACAGTCACAGTAGTGATGGTTCTCTCTCTAATAAATGTAAGGACCCTACACTTGCTTTTTGTTTTACGTGTCTTTTGCTGCTCAAATTAATCTTGGTAAAGGGATCTTGCATGGTTCCAAATCAGTTGTTTGGTGATTTTCCAACTTGCTATCACATAGCTGATGGTGAACTCTTCAGCTTGTACAAAAATACTAAAATAACAGTTTTGTAATGGCTGTCCTTTTAAAAGCCAATAGTCCAGTGAGAGGAAGATTGCAGAACGTTGTGACTGATAAAAATAATTTCTGCATTTTAATATGCTGTACTAAAGCATTATTAGTGATGAGGAAATCTGCCTGGATTCAGTTTGCCATGGGTTCAGGGACTAATGTTTAAAATCAGGTGAACCTGAACTTAGTGGCAATTCCCACTGAAGTCTATGGTGAGCAAATCCTGTGCTTACATTCTAGCAATTTTTATGGATAATAGACAAACTACTGTAAAAAAAGGCATGTGAAGCTGGGCCCTGTCACAGGCTTCAAGGGCAATATTGAAAATACTTAAACCCTTTAAAGGAGAAGTGTGGGATTTTGAAAAAACAAACACACATACTCACCTCCCTGCTGTAGCATCAGTCTGATGCTGTCCCACTTGAGAGTTGGTCTGTGGAGGGGTCTCTGGCTCAAGTCTCAGTGGTGAACTTAGAGGCTGAGCCAGTTGCCAGTCAGGCATATGGGTGGATCCCGATATTATTGAGGATTTTGGGTCAAACAGGAGAGCACAAGTAAGTGCACTCCTGTAACCTACAAGAGAAGTATGGCCAAAAATGCTTTGGCCATACGTCTCTTTAAATAATATGCTTAGGGGATGCCTTAAGGCTGTATATCTTGTCATGGAATAGTTTTTCACAGACAGTCTCAGCAACAGTGTACACTGTCAGAGCATGGTTTTTTTTATGAAGTTGATATTTTTTGATTACAATTAGCTTTGCTGCAATCTGATTTTCATTAATTTCAGTTTGAAAGAAAAGATTACTTTTTCAGATAAATTTAGCAATGAAACATAATTTTACTTTTTTCATTCAAATTCCTTATTTATTTAATTTAGAAGCATTGGAATTTGAACAGGTTACATAAAAAAACTGTTGTTTAATAAACAGAGAAGAAGATTATACAACGACAAAAGCTGGTCATAAAAGAAGCTGGGTCAGAGACAGTAGTCTGTAGTCTCAAGTGGTTGTTTAATAATCCATGAAGAAGATTTTACATCTATAAAGACCAATAATGAGCAAAACTGTGTTGACGTTGTCATTAATTCTAGGTGCACATGGTTATTGTAGATACCAGCAGGGTAAAAATCCATCAACTCTGAAGTTTTTAAAGTATTAGGTATAGAGGGAGGGGAAGGGAGGGGAAGGGAGGATTCTGTGGAGTGAGTTGGAGAAGAGGGAGGGGTAAGGAATGAACAGAAGAGGTTTAGGCTGGGGAATGTTAGGGTGCATAGCTGGGGTGGAGTCAGATGTGGGAGGCAGGAAGGGTGGGTGGTAAAGTCATCTGACAGGTTAGGTTTGTGGTTTGCCTTCAAATGTATAAAGGAAACCAATCCAGAAATGCCTGGTCATTTTATATGTCTCTTATTTATTGGCATAGCACATCTGGCATCCGGCCCTGGTCTTTTTTTTTTTTGGCACAAAATGTTGTGAATGAATATTGCGGCATTCACAGTGTACTGCTCCAAATTTTGAGTGTATTCAAATTGCATCAATATTGGGAGGGGCTTAAAGTGCACATGCATTAATGATTGCGCCACAAGTGAGAATGTAACAGACACATACAGTAGAAACCTCAGCACACTTATTTTAATAAAACAAAACTGTTCCATTATATATGCATTTCTTTACACAGCTGACCTTATAAACGAATATAATGTACCTAGATTGCAATAGTCAGGATTATGAAATGCAATAGTCAGGATTTATGAAAATGTAAATCACAGTGAGGGGAGTTTTTCATAACTGGAGCAGACAGAATCTTGAGAAGTTGTGCAAGGCAACCAATCATCTTCTATCTTCATATTTTGTTCAGTGAAAATGCAAATGCAGCTGCTCAGCCACAGAAACCCATTGCATGAAGCTCTCTACGCACTGTTGTACTGATCTGAAGGCCACATGAAGTTTGGAGGCCTTTAATTATTGACTCTGCAGACGGTTGGCGACATCTGTGCAATATGCACTTCATCATGTGCTGACCCCGCTCTGTCATTTTACATGGCCTACCACTTCGTGGCTGAGTTGCTGTTGTTCCCAGTTGCTTCCACTTTGTTATAATACCACTAACAGTTGACCGTGGAATATTTAGTAACAAGGAAATTTCAGGGATGGACTTATTGCACAGGTGGCAACCTATCATGGTACCATGCTTGAATTCACTAAGCTCCTGAAAGCGACCCATTCTTTCACAAATGTTTGTAGAAGCAGTTTGCATGCCTAGGTGCTTGATTTTATACACCTGCCATGAAGGTGATTGAAACATCTGAATCCAATGATTTGGAGGGGTGTCCCAATACTTTTGGCAATATAGTGTAGATATATATTATATAAACTGCAAAATGGAATATATATTGATGTATTCCAAGATATATATATATATATATATATATATATATATATATATATATATTAAGCTAGATGTATTTCATGTTCTAATTATTAAATATAAGCCCATAAATTTATATTATTATATATATAGTAAATACACATTCATAGATAGAATGCGATGGCCCATTGACTATATATATATATATAAAATATATGCCCCAAGGAGTTGACACAGAGACCAGTACAGTGGACCCCAGAGCAAAATAACCCCCTGTAAAACAGGTGCAAATGTGCATGTAGTACTTATGACCATGCATTTATATACACTGATGGGTTTTTGTGGATTTCTAGTCTTGTTGGAAATGAGGTTGAATATGAAATTTATTTAGCTTGCTCCATACAGCATATACAGTATATTGCTTAGGATACAAAAATGTATATCGTTCTTTGCATTTTGCATATATATATATATATATATATATATATATATATATATATTACATTTACAGAATGCAAAGTGAGCGAAAAAAAGAAAACTCTAAATGAAATCAATTTTTGGTGTGAGTATCCTTTGGCTTCATATCAGCATCAATTCTTATACTTGTATACTTTGTAAACTTTCACAAAGCCAAGGATTTGGTTGGATTAGAGTCAGGTGTATGATTAACCACTTATACCAAGCAGTTGCTAATGATTATCAAATTCATATGTAGGTTGAAACACACAGTAATTATATGAAGCAGAAACAGCTGTGTAGGAAGGTTTGAAACTGGGTGAGGAACTGTCAGGGGTCGCGGTCACGAGCGGTTCTGCGCATGCGCGGAGTGTCGATTCGTTCTAGCCGGCAGGCGCTAGGACCTGGGCAGCGGTGGCCGCGCATGCGCATTCACGATCGCGGACGCTCACCTGGCACCAATAGCAGGGCAGGGCGGTCTATTTAAACCTGCCCTGCACAGACTTTCATTGCCGTATGGTCTTGTATCCTGTGTTCCTGTTCCTGTATATCTGCCATTTGATTTGTTGCCAACCCTGCCTGATCCTGACCTCTGCTGACTTCTCCTGCTCTGACCCCTGGCTCGTTTGACTCCTCTCGTGGACATCCCTAATCTGATCTGAACTCCTGTTACCGACCACGGCGAGTGACCTGACTACTCTTTGCCTGCTGCCTAGTACTACGCTGACCCCACTGTTACCGACCCAACCCGTTTGACCACGCTCATTACTCCATCCATCCATCCTGCACGGATCCAGCCATCCATGCTCACGCCTCCTACCTCTTCACATCAGGCTCTCTACCTGCATATACCTCTGGCGGATTCCTCTACCACAGGCAGGTGTACTCAGGGGCCACGACCTGGTTCCTGTCTGCTCCAAGTCCATCCCCACCATCAGGGGCCCTGGTGAACAAGCAGACTGGGCTTAGACTCTGCGCTCTGGGGAATCCTGTTCTGTGGACTGCTAGAGGTACTGCCAGATGGTTACTAACAGGAACAGCCAAACTCTGCTACTAAGGTGAGGTTGTGGAAGACAGTTTCATGTCACAGATAATACATAATGACAAGACTGAGCACAGCACAAAGACACACTGTAGATATACTGCATCAGCAAAGACTTTCACAGGCAAAGATTTCAAAGCAGACTGGGATTTCAAGATGTGCTGTTCAAACTCTTTTGAAGAAACACAAAGAATCAGGCAATGTTGAGGACTGCAGACGCAGTAGTCAGCCAAGGAAACTTAATGCAGCAAATAAAAGACACATTGTGCCTAATTCCTTTTGAGATCGGAAGATGTCCAGTAGTGCCATCAGCACAGAACTGGTGGAAACCAGTGGGACCCACTGGTGGCTGTAGACAGTTTGTTCGCTGAAGGGCTGTACAGTACAGTATTGCATGTCGTCAGGCAACAGTGAAGCATGGTGGATGTTCCTTGTAAGTTTGGGGCTACATTTCTGCCATTTTAGTTGGAGATTTGGTCTGGATCAAAGATGTCCTTAATGCTGAGAAATACAGGCAGATATTTATCCTTCATGCCATTCTATCAGAGAGGTGTGTGACTGGCCCCAAATATATTCTGCAGCAGGACAATGACTCCAAACAGACAGGCAATGTCATTAGGCATTATCTTTAGCATAAAGAAGAACACGGTGTCCTGGAAGTGATAGTTTGGCCCTTACAGAGACCTGATTTCAACATCATCAAGTCTGTCTGGGATTACATGAAGAGACAGTAGGATTTGAGGCAGCCTACATCCACATAAAATCTGTATTAAGTTCTCCAAGATGTTTTGGACCACCTTTTGGGTTTGTAGCCTATTGCCATGGTACTTTCCTTTGTATGGAAATATTTTGGAGTCTGGACGTATCAGTCTTTTTATGTCTGTCTAATTGTTTATGTCTTGTCCTGTTTGTGCACTAGTAGATTTTTATGTGTGTATACACATGTCTTAAGCCTATCAAGGTGTCAGGAAGATGCTCGCTATAGTGCACAGCGGCACAGTCGTTCGAGGACCCATTCTGCTGCACATAGTCATGTGCATTTGCGTTCACGCAGCCCGTTGCTAATGTTGGTGCCAATCAGACTATATAAACCCAGCAGCACTATTAGCCTGTGCTGTCTGATCTGCAACTTCCCCTCCTATATTCCCATGCCTGATCCTGTTCCTGTGAGTGATTACCTGTGAGTGATCCCAGCTTGCTTCTTGGACTCTGCCTCTGCCTTCTGATTCTGCCTGATCTGCTCCCACCAACACTGACCCTGGCTTGTGACCTGGCTATTCTTCTGTTTACTGTTCATGTCTGATCCGCTTATCTGTTACCGACCTGGCTTGTCTGACCCTGAATACAGTCTGCTTCATTGCCTGCCTGCCTGCTCTGCTGCCAGCCTGCTCTACTGCCACCCGGTCCAGCCATCCCATCTCCCAGCAAATGCCAGCAATCCCTGCACAGACTACAGGACCGAACAGGCACTCATACCCCGCCATGCTCTTATGGTTGCTGTTCCACCTTCAGTTGCCCTTGAACCGGAGCTGTACGAGAGGCCTTCCTCCTGCCATCAGGCTCACAAGTAAGGTATGTGACACAAGGCTTGTTTATTTATTTTTATTTATTTATTTCAGGTACTTATATAGTGCCGTCAATTTACGCAGCGCTTTACACATATATATATTGAACATTCACATCAGTCCCTAACCCTCAAGGGGTGTACAATCTAAGGTCCCTAACTCACATTCAAACATACACATATTAGGGCCAATTTAGACAGGATCCAATTACCTTACCAGCATGTCTTTGGAGTGTGGGAGGAAACCAGAGCACCCGGAGGAAACCCACACAAGCACAGGGAGAACATGCAAACTCCATGCAGGAGGCGCCATGGTCGGGAATCGAACACATGACCCATTTACTGCAAGGCAGACCACTAAGCCACTGTGCTACCCTTGTTATTTACACTGGTGATTTTGAATGAGTTTTCTCATATATTTGAATTTAACTTTTGATACAAGATTATAATAAACTTTTTTTCAAATCTTTTTACATCAGTCCCTATTAGTGTCTTCTATAGTAACCTCTGTGCCCCTTCTGTGGGGATATCTTGTGTTGCAATAGTTTAAGGGTTATGAAGACAACACCTACTAATAGGTGGAGATTGACTGATATTATTATTTTGAATTAACTAATCTCACACTTTTCCTTAGTTATAGGTCTTGAACAAACTACCTGCCAAGATCCTTCAAAATCTGTGTACCTAGAAGAATTGATACTGTTTTGAAGGCAAAAGGTGGTCACACTAAATATTGATTTGATTTGGATTTCTCTTCTGTTCATTTACTTTCCATTGTTAATTGATAAAAATAAACTATTAACTCCTCTATTTCTGTAAGCATGCTTTTATTTACAGCATTTTTCACACCTGTCTAAAACTGTTTACCTGGAAGTGATCTTAACTGATTCATTATATTAGTTCCAGGTCTATGTATTGCAGGAGTGAGTCAGTTAAAGGCCAGCTAACCCTATCAAAAGCCTTTTTTGTATGCTAAGAGTTGCTAACAGAAGGCATGGTATAGAGGAGGTTCTAATGGAGTGAATAAAGTTGAGTACATTGATGACATTATCTTTGGCTTCTCTGGCAAGTGTGAAACTGACCTGGTCTAAGCGAATAATAGATTAATGAGTCAGAGCTGGCAATTAACACGCATTTTAGTAGTTTTAGGTGCACAATTAATAAAGAAATTGATCAATAGCTAGTGCCGAAGGAGTCTTTACCCTTTATATACAGTATATTACCAAAATGTATTACATCAGTTAATCAGCTGACAGGTGTGATTTTTAAGAAAGAGAATAATACTCTTTTAGAAAGCATTTGTCTAGTTGAGGGAAATCTTTAATAGAATAAGGTAAGATCACCTGGACCTAGGGATTTACCTGTGCTGGTAGCTTTAATAGCTTTGTGCAATTCACCTGTGCTAATATGGGTGTCTAGCATATCAGTAAAGTAAGTAGAATATTCCCATCACACACATTCCTGGAAATGGCTTGAAGCAAGTGGGTGCTATAGCAATTAGCAGCTGGGAACCTATATCAACACATAGTTACATAGTTAGTCTCGCTGAAAAAAGAAAAAAGTTATAATCCTATAACCACAGTTGATCCAGAGGAAGGCAAAAACAACCCAGCAAAGCATGATCCAATTTGCACCTGCTGGGAAAAAATTCCTTCCTGATTCTCCGAGAGGCAATTGGATATTCACTGGATCAACTTTACCTATAAATGTTAGTATCCAGTTATATTCTGTGTATCTAAGAAATAATCCAGGCCTTTTTTGAAGCAATCCACTGAGCTGGCCAGAACCAACTCTTTGAGGGAGTCTATTCCACATTTCCACAGCTCTCACTGTGAAGAAACCTTTCCATGTTTGGAAATTAAATTTATTTTCCTCCAGACATAAAGAGTGCCCCCTTGTCCTCTGTGTTGACCTCAGGGTGAATAGCTCTACACCGAGTTCACTATATGAACGACTGATGTATTTATACATGTTGATCATATCCCCCCTTAATCTTCTCTTGTCAAGAGAGAATAAATTTAGTTCTTCTAATCTTTCCTCATAGCTGAGC